AGTCTAGAACCCGCGCAGCAGCGGCGAGGTTCCCCGGCCTTGTGAGAGCTCGCCCGACGTAGGTGGGGTCCGGCAGAGTGTTCTACCCACTAACTCTGCAGTTCCAAAGAGGCATTTTTAGAGGGGTGATTTGGGGTCTGCTTTTTTTCTTACAAGGAAATGCTGTCGGGAAAAGTTAGCCTTGTGGTTTGAATTTACTTCGTTTTAATTTTTCCAAGCGCGGAATATCCCACCCTAGGGAGTAGGCAGGTCCACCTCCTCTAGCGTTACGGGCATAACCCGTCCTATTTACTACAAGCTCTCTAATTGAGATCCCTAGATACGATCCTGCCGGCCAGAGGGTGGGGTCCAAGGGAGATACGTGGGGAGCGTGCCAGTTGCATGGAGTAATGATGGATTTGTTGCTGGAGCTGAGCCACTGTAGGGCCTCCGGTTACTTTCTCCCTACAAATATGCATTTTTGCCCACACTTAATGCGAGAGAAATTCTTACATACTGGCCAAGATGTGCGTCAGCCAAATGGTAAATATATATTGAGCAGATTCCGTTGCAAGGCTAAGAGCTAGTAACTTAATTCTAATCCTCGACTGCCCAATGTCCAGTGATGAAAATAGAAAGGTGCTTTTTAAAAGACCGAGATGTTCTTTCCTAACGCATCATGGACCATCAAAGTGATAATACTGACCTTCTATGGGATTGGGAGGCACATTTACTTTTCCCACTGCCATGACAGGAAGGCGCTCTGATCCGTTTGCAGCCTCAATTGTTGCTCAAGATGGTCGCAGAAAAGACAAGTGGGACCAGTGGCATGGCCTCAGGCTGGAATGGGGCTCTAGATTCCTCCGGAAAGCAACCAGGAAAAGATCTGGAGTTGTGTAAAACCAAATGCCATAGATTGTGTATTCTTTAACACCCTAGAAGTTCAGGGAAAACGCTGCATAATGAAATAGGGTAATATTTTTTGCAGTAAACCATATGATTATTCATACGTGGTAAATAAATACCAGTAAATAGCCTCCTTCAGTTCAGATCAGCTACTACTGTCAAATAAGTTTAGGTTAGAGTAATTTAACTGTCAATAAGTTACTAAAAGTACAAAACAAAAATGTTTGGTTTCCAGAGCTTTGGGGATTTAAGAATTGCACATAAGGGATTTGTGGATCCTTGTGAGGACATGACTTTCGGCACTGTCCAATAATTATTAGCTTTTTTTTGTTGTTTAAAAATATTTATTTAGGGCTTCCCTGGTGGTTCAGTGGTTAAGAACCTGCCTGCCAACGCAGGGGACACGGGTTTGAGCCCTGGTCCGGGAAGATCCCACATGCCGCGGAGCAACTAAGCCCGTGCACCACAACTACTGAGCCTGCGCTCTAGAGCTTGCAAGCCACAACTACTGAAGCCTGTGCTCTGCAACAAGAGAAGCCACCACAATGAGAAGCCCGCACACCGCAACCAAGAGTAGCCCCCGCTCGCCGCAACTAGAGAAAGCCCGGGTGCAGCAACGAAGGCACAACACAGCCAAACATAAAAATAAATAAATAAAATAAATAAATTTATTAAAAAAAATTTATTTAGCTGCATCGGGTCTTAGTTGCGGCACGGGGGATCTTTTAGTTGTGGCATGTGAACTCTTCGTTGTGGCTTGCGGGATCTAGTTCCCTGACCAGGGATCGAACCCTGGCCCCCTACATTGGGAGCACAGAGTCTGAGCCACTGGACCACCAGGGAAGTCCCTAGCTTTTATGTGTTTTAAACATGTTAATTTTCTAGGTATAAAAATATATCTCAAAGTACTAACTTTTTATTTTGTTGCTCACTAGGAGAGATATGCTATTTTCCTTATGGATTATGGAAAGATACAAGTAAATAAACTACCTGAACTTATTCTCTTCCCAGCTTACTGATAGTGAATTTACATTTGCCTTAAAAATTAAAGTTTGGGGCTTCCCTGGTGGCGCAGTGGTTGAGAGTCCGCCTGCCGATGCAGGGGACACGGGTTCGTGCCCTGGTCCGGGAGGATCCCACATGCTGCGGAGCGGCTGGGCCCGTGAGCCATGGCCGCTGAGCCTGCGCGTCCGGAGCCTGTGCTCCGTAACGGGAGAGGCCAAAACAGTGAGAGGCCCGCGTACTGAAAAAAAAAAAAAATTAAAGTTTGGTGTCATGTATTATTCTAGGTGCTGAGGATAATTCAAAGATGAAAAAGACAACTTAGTTCCTCTCTTCCAGAAGCTCACAATCTAACAATGGAGGAAAACACAGAGTCCCAATTTGGTGCTTTTTTTCACTATACCATACCACATCTCTTGGACCTTTTAAGGTACTTTAAACATTATACTTAGAAAACAGTTAAAATGAAATAGGAAAGATTAAGCTGATAACATTTTTAGAGCTGTTAAAATTATCTATGTAAATGCTTTTATCAATTTTATGAGAAAGTGAATTTCTGGGAACATCAAAACACATGTGTACCACCTATGATCATTTTTAAAGATGTCAGAAGATGTGTTTGTTTTGCCTGAAACATCTGTTCTTGAGTTTTAAAGCAGCAGGTTTTAGGCTTAGTCCAAGGCAGTGGTTTTGAAGCCTTTCTCCTTATTAGAAATGGAACCCTTTAATCAAGCCTAATTTCACGCAAAAGTCCACATATCATAAAAATAAAAACGATTTTAGTTGAAGCAGGGATAGTTCAGGTTCCTGCCTGCTTGGCCTTCCTTGAGTCTTAAGAGACTGCTGCAAGACTCCATCAAAAAAAATAAATAAATAAAAAAGAAAGAAAGAAAAAGAAAGCTATTGGTCCAAAGCAGGGGTTGGCAAATTATGGTACTGGTACACTGGACAAATCTGTCCTGCTGTCTCTTTTTGTAAATAAAGTTTTATTGGAACACAACCAGCCCTATTTGTTTATATATTGTATATGTTTGCTTTCAGAGCAGAGTTGAGTAGTGGGGACAGAGACTCTATGGCCCTCAAAGCCTAAAATATTTACCCTCAGGCTCTTTGCAGAAAAATTTTGCCAACCCCTGATCCAGAGGATACTATTTTCTAGGGTAACTGAGAACTGAAATTACACTCAAATTAAATGGTTGTTTGAATTAGTTTCACAACAGAATTGTATAATGGCACAAAATTATATGTATAGATAAAAATGAGAATAAAACATTTTCCCACCTGGCTCACTTCCAATGACTATAAAAACTGCACAGGTCTAGGGCTAAGGTGGGTTTAAGGAAACTTTTTATGCCTCCTTATCTGCACAGCATAAACTCTACTTAGGAGTTTCAAAGGCTAGGGTCACAGCCAGTGTATAGAACAGCTTGTCTGTGGGATACTTGCTCTCTCCTCTTGTCAAGAATAATACAAAATGGCGGTATCCTTGGAGCCAATTTTGCTCCAACCCCAAGGATAATCACTCAAAACATCAGTAACAAAACTGTAATGCATGTAGGCTTTTGTTATAAACAATAGCTAACATGATAACTCAGGGGAAAACTTTTAATGTACAGGGTTAGGTGATTTGAGATACAATATTGACATGAAAAGATTTAATATTATAATCCCTGTGAGAGTTTTTGTGGATTTTGAAATATAAGAATCCATGAAAAAATCATTCTGAAACTGGCCACAGTTTGTCAGGGCCAAGACTAAATTCTGTAATCATCAACTTTCAATTATCTGTTTGAAAAGTCAGTTGTGTTACAGATTATAATAGTACAAATTCAAAAAATCTATTTGGCTTTGGAATTTTTATATCTTTTTCAGGCCTACTCCACCTTCTTAATGATAGTTTATGTTCATATTAAAATGAATTTTCAATCTCTGAGCACACAAGAACTGAAAGTAGAGAATGGTAGTCTAGAAATGTGTCAAGAGACACAGAAAAGCCAGCCTGACACTTAAAATGTGTTAGTATTGTGCAATGGAATATTTTGTAGCCATGTATTACTATTCAGGACCCTGGAAGAAAGCTAACTGGAATTATCTTAAACAAAAAAAGGGAATTTATTCGCTAACATAGTCAAGTACAGACTGCTCTAACACTTGTCTATTCCTTTGTGACTAATATATTAGAGACAGTTTAAGCGGAAGGTGAATTTTGCATTTGCTTATGTGCAATTTTGTCAGCCAGATACAGGTGAAAACAGAAAACTACACCCAGATGAATCAAGTTGCGTAGGAATACACAAAATACACGCACACAGACCTCAGACGTCTACCAGTTACCTCACTTCATTGTGTGTTTTGAGTCACACCCATCCACATCGAGTGTTACAGCTTTCCATCTGATTTCAGATAACCCTCCTTCCACCACTTCACAATAATTCACAAGTTGCAACCCTTCTGATAACCCATTTCCACAAGCAAACTTTAGTTCTTTTTCAAAATAAAGCACCATATTTATTGTAGTATTTATGTATTTCTTAACCATTTAACGTGTAAAACTGCTACCATTTTCATTAGGTTTGTATCTTTTTGTGTATGTGTCACTGACAGTTCTTAAATGTTGCACTCATAGCCCCATTTCCCCCATAAGCCCTGTGGTTTTTATTGAACAACTTTGCATAACGCAGTAATTTTGTGGGAAAGCATATGTTGTCTTTTTTTAAATTTATTTATTTATTTTTGGCTGCATTGGGTCTTCGTTGCTGCACGAAGGCTTTCTCTAGTTGTGGCGGGCGGGGCTACTCTTCCTTGCAGTGCGCGGGCTTCTCATTGCGGTGGCTTCTCTTGTTGCGGAGCATGGGCTCTAAGCATGCGGGCTTAGTAGTTGT